CACGTTTCACCAAGGAGGCCACTCCGAAGCCACAGAGGGGGGAGGGGGGCACCGGCCTTGGGGCTGGGGGGTGGGACGGGAGGCTGGGCCAGTGCCCTGCAGATCTAGCAGGCCGCCTGGAGGCGCGGCTTGGCAAGGGACAGCGAGGGGCACCCCAGAGGGAAGCCATCGCTCGGTGGGCCCCAGCAGCGCACCCTGAACCCACTGCGTGCTCAAGTGGACCTTGGGAGTAAGGAATGTGTATCCTCCCTTCACCGTGCTCCCCCCACCCACCACCCACCCCGAGATCTGGAGGAAGAGTGGATGGAGCGGGCGAGCGGGGGAGAATACTGGAGTCGGACCTGGATTTCCCTTTCTTCCAAGCTCCCCGAGCCCGAGCTCTCTAGAAAGTATGTCTCTGCTCTGGCTGGGGAGGGATGATCCCAGGGTCCACTGGCCCGACTCTTCTCCACACCCCAGAGCCGGGTCTGGAGGTGGGGTGCAGCCCTCTCCCCCAGCCCTTGGGCTTTGGCGAGAGACTCAAGTTTGGCAATGGAGACCAGAGCAGGCTGCTTGCAGTGACCGGATTGAGGTTTCTAGTGGAAAACCCAAGGCTGGCTCCTCCCTCGCAACGACTGGCTGGACTCTGGGCAAATCACTTGCCAATTCAGCCCCCTTTTCTGTTCATGGGACGCAGTCACCCTCTCCTTCCAACATCCTGTCCCCGCTACCATCCAGTCATTTCTGACTCATAGTGCCCCTATAAGGCAGGGCAGGACTCCCCACAGGGTTTCCAAGGCTGTAAATCTTGTAAGAAATCTAACCGCCATTCCTTTCCCCTGCCAAGTGCCTGGTGGGTTCCACCCCACGACCTTCAGGTCAACACCTGGGCACTTAACCACTGCGTCAGTACGGCTCCTACCCACCCCAGTTTACAGCCTGAGGAAGCAGGTGGGAACCCTCTGTACTGGGGACCTCCCGGGCTGGCCCCAATCCCCATTTTAACCTCTTTCTCGGGATGCCCACGTTTGTTCACTTCCTCCAGGCCCCTCTGCTTTTTTAGCCGCCCCTCCTGCTCCGCACTCCTTGTTGCCTAGGCCCACCACTGCTCTGCTGGCCTCCGCTCACCTGTCCAGGGAGACAGCAGCCAGGGTGAAGCTGCTGGCATACATGGTGAGGAAGATGAGGAAGTGCACGGCCCTGCAGAGCAGCGAGCCAAACACCCAGCTGTCCAGGGTGTAGACGGTGGCCTGGAAGGGCACGCAGCACACGAGGAAGCACAGGTCCGCGACGCCCAGGTTGAGGATGAACAGGTTGGTGGTGCTGACCGCCTGGCCGCCGCGCAGCAGCACTGCCAGCACCAGCGCGTTGCCCACGGTGCCCACCAGGAAGATGAGCGCAAAGAGCGTGGGCACCACCACCGTCTCGGGCTGCAAGCCGCCGCCCGCCTCACTGGCGTCCTGGACGCCCCGGGCGCCCGAGCTGTTCATGGTGCCCGCTCCCGCTCCTGGCCTGTCCGGGTCTCAGCAAGCACAAGCTGCCGGCCCAGGCGCCTGGCCACAGCCCGCGGGGCGCGAAGAGGAGCGGGGGTGGAGGGGGCAGGGGGAGGAGCGAGACAGGAGTGGGATTGTCCAGGCCAGCAGCGTGGCCTGCGAGCTGCAGTCCTTGGAAGGGGTGAGTGTGTGTGTGATAAAGGGCAGGCAGGGAGAATGGGGCACTGGATTGCTCCATGGAGTTTGCTCCACCACTCTCCCCTTCTCCCTGGGACCCGGTGCTGGTCCAGGTCTCAATGGAGAGGGCATTGTCAGGGAAGGGGCAAGGGAGTTTCTGAGGAAACTGGCTTAGTTTGTCCCCCCCCCGCCCCCCACACACACACACACACACTACTGCTTTGCTCTTCATTCTCATGCACTAAATACTCACGGAGCATCTACTGTGTGTCAGGGCTGGTCCCTGGCCGGTGCCGGTTTCCTGTGGCCCACAAGGTGATGGCCCTCTGTGGGGATGCCTGGGGGCATAGTGCCTTACAAAGGACCAGCTGTTCTGCCTGAGAAAGATGAGGCTTCAGTCTCAGAAACCAACCGGCTGAGCCGGACTCCATGGCCAGGAGCGTGGATGCTGGCTTTTCCTCGAGGGCTCTGGTAAGAGGGGAGGGGGAGGACTTCCCAAAACCAAGTGCTAGAATCTGAGTGAATCCTCCTCTCTCCTTTGTCCTGACCCCGCCCTCCAGAGCTCTGCAGAGGGGGAAACTGGGAGAGAGACAGAAGCACAGACTGCAGAGCACAGGTCCTGGATGGTCAGGGAGGGGGCGTCCAGGCTGCAGCGACACAGCGTTCGTGTCTGCGTTTGAAGTGTCGCTGTGTGTCCTCAAGTGGACCCCAAGTCCTAGAGACCCTATAGGACAGTGCTCCCTGGGCTGTCCTCCTTCCAGGAGGGGCCCCAGCTGGCCAGTGGTTAAGCACTGGGCTGCCAACGGAGAGGCCCATGGTTGGAACCCACCCGTGGGCTCTGCGGAAGAAAAGACTTATGGGTCAGCTCCTGGAAGGATGACAGCTTAGTGCTGCTCTGTCTCCTAGATTCGCTCTGAATCGATCAGGAGGCCATGGCTGGTTCGCTTCACAGGGGCCCATGACTCGTGTTTTTCCTCTGGGGGGCTGATGAGCTTGGACACTGAGCACTTAACCATTGTGGCACTAAGGCACGCAAGACGTGGGACACCCGAGCATGGCTGTTTCTAGGGGTCTGAAAATTGTCACCTGGGCTTCGCTGCCCCTGCCCCTGCCCTGGGGGTCCTAGTCTGAAATGTGTTTTTTCCTCCTTCCACAACTACTCAGCCCTCAGGTGGCCTGGCGCTCACACCCCTTGGTAGGGAAATGCATTCGCCCCCTGCCCTGCCTATCACGGACAGGAGGATACCAGTTCTGGTGTCGGAAGCAAGTACCATTAATACAGGAGGGGGGGGTGGGGGGGCATCGTGGCAAGGCCAGCAGTGTGAAGCCACCAGCGGTTCCACAGGAGACCGACGGGGCTGTCTACTCTCACCAACAGTTACAGTCTCGAAGGAAACTCACAGGGGCAGTTCTGCCTGGCCCGAGAGGGTCACGACGCGTCAGCATCGACTCCATGGCAGTCAAATAAAATTCTTCTTTCAAGACCGAACCCTTGTTCTTTGGGTGCACAAACAGTTTGCACTCAGCCACTCAATGAAAGGCCAAGGGTTTGAACCCGCCCAGTACTGCAGTAGAGAGGTCTGGCAGGCTGCTTCCCCAAAGAATTCAGTCAAATAAAGCCTCTGGGTCCACACTGACCTTCAAGCAAAGATGAGAACGTCCGGGGGAACAGGGAAGCTCGCAGTGGAACACTCTGAATGGAAATCATTAGAATATCAACACGCTGTGGAAAGTGTAACTACTGCAACTGGACAATATGCATGAACCAGAAAACCAAACTCACTGCCATCGAGTCAATGCTGACTCACGGCGACCCTACAGGACAGGGGAGAACGGCCCCTCTGGGCTCTGAGACTGTGACTGTTTACGGGAGCAGGAAGCCTCCTCTCTCTCCCTCGGAGTGGCTGGTGGGTTTGAACTGCTGACCTTGGTGTTAGCAGCCATGTAACCCACTACACCACCAGAGCTCCTGGAACAGTATTTTAGAAATTGTTCAGTGGGAACCACTTGTTTTGAGAACATTCACCCCAAGTCCAGAAAGACAGTATTTTAAAAACAATTTGAAAAGCCTATGAAGCGGTGCAACTCTTGTGCAGGGGGTCTCCATGAATCAGAATTGTCGTTACATAATTTCATGTCAACTTGAAGTGTAGGGGTGGAGTCTAGCCTGTCAATCAGGTCACAGCCTGTTGGTGCCTCCTTGTGGGCGTGACCTCCTCATAAAGAGGGTCCTGGGAACCTCCCCCTCTCTCTCGGCTTCACCTCCCTGTTTATGAGCCACACTGGGAACTGAGCCCTGAGATGCAGCCACCTCCATTGGGTCCACAAGGCTTTTCACTCACCAGCCTGTGATGGTCCTGCTTTCTGCACTGTAGCGTGTGGCTGTGTGAGTCTGAAGAGGGGCGTATGGACTAGTATCAGACTTACGGAATTATATTGGATTTATGGACTTGGTCTGGACTGGGCTAGGACGTTTGCTTGATATATAATTACTTCTTGATCTAAAACGCTTACACATATATATGAGGGTCACTGGATTTGTTTCTCTAGTCTACCCAGCCTAACACAAGAATCAATGGGTATTCTCTACCAGGCATCATTCTGGATCCTTGGCTGTGCCAGTCAGCTCTTTAGAGACCCCCTCGGAGCTGACCTTCGGGTGGGGGAGACAGGTGATAAACATAATTCAGTTATTAATCTGTTAAAGCAAAAAAACACACAAACTCACTGCCAAGTAGATTCTGACTCATAAGTGACCCCATAGAACCTCGTAGAACTGCCCCCTCACCCCCATTTCCACCTCATGGATTTGCGAGACAAGTACTTATGGGATATTGTTAAGTATTCAGGGGTAGGGAGGCAAGTAGGCCAGAGTAAGGGAGTTTAGGAGTATTGGGATGGTGGTGAGGGGCCAATTCTAAACAGGATGACCAGGAGGCCTCCTTAGGAAGGTAACATTTGAGCAAGAGCTTAAAGGAAGTGAGTGAGCAAGCAAACAGATCCAGGGAAGAGGGCATGGAGCCCTGAGTGTGTCCCGAGTGCTGGAGGGGCAGGCCAGCAGAGAGCATGAAGGCCTTCTTCCCATTGGAAGGACTGTGACTTGTATTTAGCGATTTCTTTTTAAACTTTAAACTACTGTGAATTGGGTGAAGGTTTACAAAGTAGTCACATCTTCCGCTCGAACAATTCATCCAGATTTTGTTTCATGTCCTTGAGTTTCCCTTGTCCACTTCTCTTCTTTCCCAAGCCTTCTGAACCGTGTCTGTGGCCGGTGCAGCCCTTTGGTTCTCACATGGCTCCTTGTCCTGCCAGCGTTATTGCTCCCCTTACAGGCCTGCCTTTGGTTTGGCTGAAAGTTGAGCCAAGCCATCGGGATGAGTTCGGTTCCACATCTGAAGGTTGACTGAGGGTCCTAGTCTCAGGGGATTCCCAGTCTCTGACTGGTCAGCCTGATCTTTTTTTTTCTTTCTTAGTTCAAGGACTGTTTGTTGGCTTTTAGGAGTGTTTTCTGGTCGAGTCTGATGGGGTGCCAAGCCCTGGCCCCAAAGTCTATTTGTGGTAGTCCCTGGGGACTTCGTTGCTCTGCTCCCCTCGCTGTTTTGTTGCACACCCTTAGTGTTCTGCCTCGGTGTGGTGGGATCAGATGGGGAGCAATTCCCTCATTGTGTCTCCAGTGTTGTCCCCTGTAGGGCTATGGGTCAGTGAGGGATGTCATGTCTCATAGTGGGGCCGGCCATATGGTCTTCTCTGTGGATTAGCTGCTAAGCTTGATCTCTTTTATGA